TCCCTACATGTTCCCTTCCAACAAATCCAACCAAGAGAAACAGGCAATGACAAAAACAGCTGACGAGCTTGACTAACACAACATCATCCAGTCAAAACAAAAAGAAGACGGAAAATTGAGCCACGAAAGAAGAAGAAGAAGAAGAAAGATTTATATAATTTCAATAGAAAAAGGCAAGAAAATTAGAAGATGGAGATTATGGAGTGATGCAGTGGAAGTATGGGAAGTGGATGGGGGAGAGCAGCAAGTGTTAAAAATAAAACAATGAAATCACTCTTATTCCGGCACATCCACTCATCACACTGCTCTAGGCATTCATGCCATCCAGCTGTCCCTTTGGAGAGACACATCATCCTCATATAGAGCCGCGTCTGTGATATATAATAAATCTGAAGATGCTGTTGCGAGCCATTCATTAGGACGCACATAACAGTCTGTTCAATGTGACGCTACAGTGATTAGTGACTTCTGTTTCCTGTTGATACGTAGCTCCGGTGTTTTGGCGGTCAATTCTTTGTTAAAAGTGGCGTTCAACTTGTAGGCTAACTTGGTGGTTTTCAAAGTGACTGCCAGAAAATAAAAAATAAAAAAATCCAATCAACTGTATCCATAGAGTTTAGTTTTTTCTTTTGAGCTTGAAAGACGTTTTGTTCCTCAACTTGTGACCTGTGGTTTGTAAAAGTCACAAACCTTCACGACCCATGTCACTCTGGGAAACATGATGTGAGACGACCCAAAAAACAAATTTCTTGCAACCCATCTGAAGGTCGCGACCCAGTCTTTGGGAAACAATTGTCTAGAGAAGTATAACTACAAGGGTTCCCTTTTACATCAACCAGAAACTGATGAAGTTCCTTGGTTGATGAAAGAAACATCTTTCAAGCTCAAAGAAAAGTTCTAGTTGCTTACAACCAAACTCTATGGATATCATGACCTGGATGAATGAGAATCATGCCGTAATGATTGGATTTTTGAGATTCCCCTGATTGACCTCAACTGTCACCCTGCCCATCACCGTTCCAAATGAGAAGCAGTTGAGATCTTATCCTTAGTGCAATTCTGACCTCAAATTGTACCCATCTGTCCCTCTGACTGCACATCCAAACTTTGTCTTATCTGCTCATGGGCCTTTCAGTGGGGTGTGTGTATTTAATTTATAACTATAAACTTATTTCTTTACTTTGTGACAGTAGGAACTATTCGCTTACAGAACTGTTTCTCTTGTTCTTTCTTGTCAGTTCTCCCGTTTCCAAGGTTTTTTCTAACACCTCTTTTTAAAAGTGTTTGCTTGTGCGTAACTATAAACAGTTCAGGCAGAATACATTTCACCAGATGAACACTACAGAGAGAAAAAAAAGTGCTCCACACTGAGCTATTTTTTGATCTACTTGACTTGCAGATGATGTGTCGATGAGACTGGAGGCTAAATGTTTGTTCAGTCGACTGCATCTGTTGTTCCTCACTGCCTGCGATATAAAGTACAGTACTTTTGAAGGCACAGTTACAGTATCTGTCACCTTGTGTTAGCTGATCCAGAGTCTGAAAGCTGCCCTAACATGTGAAGACTGACACTGAGGGTTTCAGCTTGTCTCCTTCGTCTCCAACATCTTCTGACCAATGCGTTACAACTGCATTACCTTTTGCTGATCACCTGGTGTCAGTGTGTTAGAAAATCACCACTAAAATATATACATGGTTGGAGACAGGACACATTAGCTGTTAGCAAAAACAACAGAAACAGAGAACTGATTCTTAACTTTTTTTTAACAGGTTTTTTTTTCTACATTAGAGCACTTTTCCGACCAGTGGATCTCAAACAGTGACACGTAACATGTGAACTGGATGCTGCAGATTTGCCAACAAGCTGCACTGTCTATATTTTGGTTTGGTCAGCATGTATAAATGGGCTGTTATTTCCATGTTAGCAATGCGCTAATAATCAGTTAGCAGGAAGGTTACTTTTCTACCCTTTGGGCGATTGACTCAAATAGTTACCATAATTGTCTGTATTTTACTGCTGTTTATTTGTGAGTGATACGTTGTGCAGATTTAGAAACCATTAAGAAACGTCTCTTTTTTTTTACTTGCAGTACATTTTGATAACAGTGATATAGCGTGTGATATAGAAGCACAAAGTCAATGGTGGGAGTGTAGGGGGGGGCGAATGCAACAAGAGGAGATGATGAGAACAACATGCTTTTTTCTGTTTTTGTTTAGTTTAATATCAGAGTTTAAATGACCCTACCTTTACGGAGTTGTGATAAAGTGTGTCATTTAACATGGTGCCAGTCTCCCAGTTCTTTATCTTCATGAACCGTGGACATTTGGAAGGACTGCCATTCTGTTGTGTCTTCGTGGGGGAGATGCTGCCCTGCTGCGGTGGCTAAAAAATAAAAAATAATAATTTCACTCATTTCATACAGTTATTTCATCAATGGAAATGCAGTTCAAGTCAGAGAATTCTTATTCAAGTTGTCAATTTTTTTTTCGAATTTTCATACCTTGAACATTTAAATACATGTCTCTGAACAATATTTAACAGATTTAAATCGTCATATATCTCTTAGCTGAGTAATATTTCGTTTGAACATATTTCCAAAACTAACTCCAGGGTTCACCTCCTGGGCAAGATCAAATCCCAGTGGATTCACCATCCACAGGAAGGTTTAGGGGGGTTGGTACGGTGCAGTGTGATATTGGTGGCGATCATATGGACTGCTACCCCTGTGACCCGGTAACAGATAAGCGGATGAAAATTGATGGATGGATGGATGGATATTTCCAAAACTTAAAAATTTGTATTTGGAAATCTAATCCAATAACATCTGGACACAAGTTCTGCCACAAAAATGTTTTATAAATTTGTTTTGTAAATGACTAGCTAGAGTGGTGTAGTGTTAAGACCACACCTGTCACCAGAGGGCTTCAGGTTGGGTTGTTCAAAAATCTGCCAAATCACTATGCCGGCTATAGCTCTGAAGTTACAAAACCAAGGTGATTTTTTTTATTGTTTATTGTTTTTTCTCCTCTCTTTATTTTCAGCCCAGGGTAAAGATAATTGGCAGCAGCAGGTTGGGGGGGTGAGGAGGGGGTGCTAACTCTGGGCTGGTTGGGTTCAACCAATATCCCCTGATGAATGACTGCAATTTATCCCCACAGTCAACCGTATAAGTTCCCACAGAAAGGCACCGAGTGGTTGCTCCAGATCAAGAGTTAATCAATCCAATCTCTTGAAAGCTTTTTCGTCATCGGCACCACATTGTTGCCAGTACACTGGTGCTGATTCTGAACCACTGTATAACAATCATGGTCCATCCCAGGGAGTTGATTGTGTGTCCTCCAAAACAGCAGTGAGAGATGAGGGCCTTTGAATCAAATAAGACCCCGAACACACCGACACAGAAACTTAACAGCGCACTTCCTTCCTCATGCTCCAACAGTCGTTGTGTCTAGCTCGGATATGACACGTTGTCATGACGGAGGTTCAAGACGGAAGATGAAGATCAGTGTACCGTGAAGTGACTCTGAGTCAAAGAGACACGAGAAATCAGACGCAGACGATTTGTGCCTGACGGCGAAGAAAAGCAGAGCGACTGTGTGTTATTCAACGTTTGTTTTGTCGTTCACTGACCGGAAGCCGTGGCTCTGGCATTTACATTTACGTTTTTTCCTATAAACGCTACAAGCGCCATGCAGTGATCTGAACAACCGGTGAATGTCAGCCTACATCGCCTGTACTTAACCTACACTAATGCGCTGACGCCAATGTCACATCAGGATAAAAGGGTTTGTTTTTGCCCGTTAAAAATGTCTTTTAAGACCTCTCTTCGCTTTGACGAAGGAATACACAAGCATTGATTTTAGTAAAGATTACAGGTTTAACATCATTAAAATAAAGGGCAGCTACGACATGGCTACATGCTAATGTCCTTTCTCGACGTCCACAGATCGATTGACTTCAAATACACTAGAACATTGTATGTAGGATCAATACATGTAATATAGTATAGTTATATATTAATCAATCATTTCTGTTTATCTTTGCCTTTGTCAGTATTAACTATTTTTTAATTATTGCCAATAGGGGGCAGTGTTGTGTATCAAAATCTGCAAAATCCAAAAAAAGAAAAAAAATAATTATTTAAAGTCCAGAGAGTACAGTCTTTCAACCTATTACTGTACAGAATTAAAACTGCAGCTATAGCTGGTATAGAAAACTAATACAAATTTTGTTATCAAAGCAGTTCCTTTAGCAGGCACAAAACAGTACTTGGTATCATTTTTTAATTTGAATATAATCGCTAGAAATACTGCATGTACTGTGTGCAATATACTGTTTATGTATATATATATGTACACATATATATATATATATATATTCACGAAATGTCTCGCTGTCATCAATTAAACTGTGGATGTACTGGACGAGCACAGCCGTGGGGATAGAAATTACTGTGATTTTAACTAATTAGATGGAAGATAATTACACAGTAGAGTGTAATCAACGCAGTACTCCAGGAAAAAAAGTAAAACGTTTTTTACCATTTGCGCAGAAATTAGAAACATTTTCTACCTACAGGGTTGGGATTTTCTATCGTGGGTCGATTTTTTGTCTTTGTTTGTATTTACGTCGTCTTATTTTAAGAAATCATAGTTTTTCCATGTGAAATTATATCCAATAGGTGGCAGTATTGCAAATTAAAATAGATAAAATACAGAAGAAAAGGGTAAAAAAAAATGCAGTTATGCATTTCTTTTCTTCATTGAAGTTTGATTTACTTTTGCGTCCTTGTATTACTACCCCGATGCGGGGGCGGGGCGGGGGAAGGGGTATGTGCAATGGAGGCAACAGAACAATTGAATAGAGTGTTGTCTACCCTAATAAATTAGCAGGAACTCATCTCTTCTCTGAGCCGCCTTCTCCTTAAATCCAACCCACATCAGTTCCACCAGCAGCTGCACACACTAATTCAGCATCCTGGAATCTTTTCAGCCCCCCGCCCCCATCCAGTCCCATTAGCGTTCAACGTCACAGAGGCGTTCCATATGCAGATTACAATGCTTTCCCTGCCACAGACCTGTGACCAGACCCCGCTGCTGCCGAGCCATAAACCGGATTTAATCCAGCAGCAGCTTGCCACCGGAAGGAGGTGATGATATCTTAAGTCCAGGCTTTAGTAATAAGAGTAAAGCGATATTAGAAATATGCCAGCGAATTCAAACTTCTACTGAAGTGACAAAGGGAGTAAAAAGGAACCGTGGACGCAGAGCACAGCTACACAAGCCTTGTTTACAGCAAACACCCGGACCAGAGGCTGAGAGAATTTCACATTCTCCACAGATTCATTATTATTATTATCATCTTTCTAAGGTGGAATTTTCTCCTCTGTGTTCAGTATATCCTTACCTTGCCATTGTCAGTGTTGTTGGCCACCTGTGGCATGTTTTCCATCAGTCTGTCGTTATATGACACCAGCTGGGCCGATGTACCATTTCCCACGCCAAGTTCCCTGGAAGTGACAAACAGTTATCTGTCAGATGTGTAAGCTCGCAGCAGGTGCAAAAACTCCTTTTTTCATCTCGAGGATCAGAGCCGAACCAAGACATCAAGTGTTTTTTTTTCTCCTTTTGCAATAAACGATAATATTACCAGTTTCAGCTGTGTGTCTGTACATGGTAACAGCCGAGGGCAGCTGAGGTTATCAGCGTCTGACTGTTGCTGCAGAGAAGTTTCTAACATATGGTTGAGATTTTTCCCATCATAGCAAAGGCTGTAACTTTGATCGAAGACGTTTGTTTACTTTTGAATGAAGTGTAAACAGGATGTCAGACGTGTAGCTTATAGATTATATGACCCACCTTCAACTGACACTGACACTGATAATTATTTTTACAACATTTTAAACCCTTGCATCATACATTCAACTTTCAGTTCTTTAAAATTGTTTTAAGGCCCAAAACAATAATAATAAATAATTGATAATAATTCATTTAAAAAAAATGAATTTGTTGAAAGTAAAATTTAAATTTGACCAAAAATGGTTACATCAAAGGCAAGACTCCCACCAGAGTCGCACATGCCTATGATTGGCCCACAAATGAAACTGTTTCAGTTTGTCAACTCCAGTTAAGACTATTTCAAACTACTTGTCCAAAACTGATCTGAGCTTTTGAATAATTTTTTACCTCTTTTCCTACTGTACTGGTTTCACAGTATTCACACCACGGTGTATTTTTAGAGACACATTATTTTTCTTCATTATTACCAATACAACCTTGACGAATCGGTTGGTCGTCATGGTTACCGGTTCCGGTCGGTCATGTAAACAGTTACGAACAGTTACTTTGGAAACCACCAAAACCTCGGGAACCAAGTTGAACAAAGATACGTGGATGGGATTCAGATTCTTTTGTTTTTCCTTTTTTCTTCTTTTCTTTTTAAAAAACAAACCTAGTTACTCTCTTCTCATCTCCATACATTAATAAACCCGTGTGTATGATGTGAGGTTTGCATTTCGTCCTGAGAACTGAGAACGCCCCCATATCACACATCTTACCTTCCGCTGTCTTTCACACTAACCCCTCCTGCCCACCCCACACACCAGACACATTTGTGACAGGCACGTGTCGATGCTAATTGTAAATTCTTTGTTCCCTCCCTCTTTCTTTCACACTCTCTGTCACACTTAATCTCTTTATTGCTGCAATCAAATGCATATTCACCCCCACATCCACCCCTCCCAGATCTCAGGTGGACTTTAAACGCAGTTGAAAAAAAGAGCTTAGCTGTGTTTGTTGTATCTCGCCGACTGTGCAGTCAAAGTTTTTATCTCCACAACGCCGGCTGAGGCTGAGGACACATGAACTTGGGCTCAAAAGCTTCTACAGGATTTTAAAAAAAAAAAAATTCCACTTGCTCAAGCATGTGGACGACCTCTCAGAGACGTTGTATTTTCTTTTGTCTTTCCTCAGTCACATGTGCACCCTCACTACGCCCGATAATCACTCACGAAGGAGGGAGGAAAAGCACCGCAGTGGTCAAGAACAACATATTGATTCAGAGACCGGAGCCACAATTAGATTTCAATTGGCAGTGGGAGTTTTAACTCACGCTGTGACTAAAGACTCTGCTGCGGCACACAGACCCTTCAGAACTATTTTAATTTTAGAAATGTTATCCTTTTATCCAGCTGTGTATTAATAGAGTTGACTGTAACGGAACTGAGAAGCAAAAGCGTTAAAGCTGCTTACAATTGTAGCATTGTCGTCAACAAAATACAGTTGGTGCCACTAAGGGAGCAAATATATATTCAACGTTTGCTACGTCTGATTTTCAGAATGCAGTTTTATCTTGTCACGTGCTCAAAATAGCTTGACAAGTGCCCTGCAACATGCCTTGGTCCTTTTGAAGATACAAATGTTTGTGTGTAATAGGAATTGTGGCGTAAAAGGTTATAGATTAGTAGTCCTGCAGTCACAGTGTGTACAATGGTACTAGAATACTACTAGCGGTGCGTGCTAACTGTTACAGTTATCGTATCTGAGTCTTTTAGACTATATTTACACTATATATTTACTTTAAATGAGGTTTAAGATAGAGCGACAGTGGTGTTTGTATAATGGTTCAAACTTTTTGGATCTTTTGACCGGCAGGTCAGTTCAGTGTTAGTTGGATATAGAATGTCGAGCGAAATAATTTCAATAAAAATGTACAAAAATAAACCTTAACTTTGGGAGATTATTTAGCACTTGATGTCTACTGGCCATATCTGGCCCACGAGCCGTAGTTTAAATTAACTGACTTAATGAGGATCTAAGCTCTGATATTTGGTTCTGACAGTTACTAGTCAGTTTGATTGATTGATATGTGGTGATTGGTCAGATAATCGGTTCTTGGTTATTCAAGTGCCGTCGCTTAAATGGTAAATTGGTGAAGTGAACAAAGAACAAAAACACTTGGCACCAACAACATGGGAATCAATACTTCAGTATCTCATCACAAATTACCACGCCACTTGAATCGCTGCATCCCTTCTCCCAGCATTTCTCTGGCCTTCTCCGATGATCTCCCTTTTGCTGTTTTTGATGAGACGCAGCACCGGTTCAATCTCCCTCAACAGATCGTTGTTTTGCTCCAGACCGTTGCACAGGAGTGTTCCGCGGCCCCCGTCCCTCATCAGCAGGGGGTCCTGAACATGTATGCTTCCCCGCTGCAGGAGGGACTGTGTGATGGATGCAGAGGACAGATTTTCTATGGCGCGGAGTTGGTGATCCTTATTGGCCTGCTGCTGCTGCTGCCCAGGGCTAAATGGGCTGAGGGGGGAGCAGTGCTCGAAGGACTTTGAGGTTGGGAATGCAGGACGCGTGACTCTCACTGTACGGCGGCGGCCGTCTCCGCACAGGGTGGTTTCCAAGTGGGTGGTGAAGCCCTCCGGACCGCGGAGGATGAGCACAGCGTGGCTCTCGGGCAACACGTTCTTCAACGTCTCCAGGGCTCTTTCGTACGAAAGGTCCACCAGGGGCTTGTTGTTGACGGCCAGGACGATGTCACCTACCTGCACCAGTCCACACTCCTCTGCTGCGCCACCGCGGATGAGGTCTGACACAATGACAGGAGGCTTGGAGACCCTCTGCTTTACCAAGAAACCCAGACCACCGACCTTCCTCTTGAAAAGACGCACGGAGATAATGTTGGGCTGCAGCTGGCACACGGTCGCCTCTGACTCCTGCATGTTGCCTGTGAGCAAAGGTTTCTATCTGGAAGATGAGCGCTGCCCTCTGTATATATTCGTTTATATTTGTTAATTCACGGGGAATATTCTGAAATATAACAGACAAAGAAGTGAAGGTGGAAGTTGTGTTAGTCAGGTAGGAAATATTCTGTGGCATTTCTAAGGGTGGACTGATAACGCCATGTTAGACCATTACGTTTACATGAAGACAAATGTTTTCTTACATTTTTGTCTCACTGCTCATTCACCTCAAACGGACCAAACTGAACCTGGGAGTCATTCATAGATGGTGCATAAGAACAGGACAGATGTACTTTGCAAAAGCACAATCGTTCTGCCGGTTGCATTAGCAGGACCCAGGCAGAGGTGTAAGCAGTGCATTTACATATCTGCCTTACACACAGAAGGTCATGGGTTCGAAACGCCCAAAACGAACAACATACTTGGCGCCACCTTTTGCAGCAGATCTGGTGTCAACACTATTTTCCCAGTCTGGCATCAATGAAGTCCAAATTATTATGATTATCATATTGTATTAAACACGCACTATATCTATCAAATGTGATCAAAACCTCTCGTGGAAATGGTTATTCTAGTAAATCATACAAAAAGTGGGTTAATTTTCCAACAGACTGTTGTTTAGATAATTACTTAATAAGATAATTGTTTAGATTGTGTGTGTGTGTGTCTTGTCCTGCGCCAAACCCTTGTTTAGATAAGTAATTTAGCTTCATTGATGCCAAGTCATTAAGTAACCAGTTTTTGTCTACAGTTCATGATTGCTTCAAAATGACTTTCATTGTTTACGTCCAATGGCCAAACAACCAAGGTACAGATCTGACTTGATAAAAAGGGTTACTTTTGTTTGATTTCACAAAGAGCAAAAAAGATTCACTCAAATACTGTTGACACTTTGGGGTGACACTTTTGGACCTTTGTACACCACTTCAAAAAGTTCTGCCACAGGTTCCATTTGATCCTTTTAATTACTGTATTTTTGTGTAATTTTTTGATAAGCCACTTCTAGTTTGTTTCGGGTGATAAATGGGGGAAAGACACACATACGAACACAAACACGTCTTCGTCGACACTGACATTGACTACACAGAGATCAGCATCACAACGTCAATCACAAACGCACAGCACGCCTGTGGAACAGCGTTGACACACGGTGGTAATGGTAGAAGTTAGAGAACAACAACAGAGGAGGAGATGGAGGAGGAAGAGGAGGAGGAAGAGGAGGATGGACTGGTTGATGAAGGAGCGGTTTTAGGATGACATAATTCAACACTTTAGGGTGAAACCAAAACAATAAAAAAACAATTTAAAAAACATGACCCAAATTAAAACAACTGCTGCACAGTTGTTTTAATTTGGGTCATGTTTTTTAAATTTGTTTGGTACTGTGCAATCTCTCAAGAGGCACTGATGCAATTGGGGGTAAAATGAGCAAAAATATATATATTTTTAATCACAAAAACTCTAAATTGAAGAATAGATTTATTGCGATTTTCCCACAGCAACAAGTTCTAACAAGTCATTTTTAATGATGAATACAACAAAAAGGAAAAAAAATCTTTTGAGATTTGCGTATTATTCTTAATATTTTTTATAAGCGTTCTACTATCAGTATCCATCAAATGGTATAACGGGGGTTCTGTTCCACAGGAACAGAACGGGTGAGAGAAAAAGGAGGAATATGAATAAGAACTCACCCCATGGATGAAGGTGACTCTAGTGAAGTTAGGATGAAACTTGCGCTCCTGCGTCTCCTCCTCAGCAGCGACAGCGGCGGTAGCAGTAGAGGCGTCTGCTCAGCAGCTCTCTCTCATCCAAAAATGAAACCCGTCTCCAAGTGGTTGCGCTCTGTCCCTCCAGAGAACGGGCACGCTTGTGCCTTTGCGCGCACAGGGGCGCCTTATAAATACAGCGAAACTGGTGACGGAGTAGAGGAGAGCCGCGTGCGCAGGCATTTAAATGAACCGTAGGTGGGTTTAGTTATGTCTACTATCGTCATCACCCAGCAGGCACCGCTACCGACTCTCCCCACATCCACACTCCTCCTATAGAGCCGTCGTCAGGCCTCGGGGTGGAGGCAGAGAGACGGACTAAGGTGTGTCGCCACATAAATCAGTGTAATCTGGTGCAAAAAAAAAAAAAAAAACGAATTACAAAAAGGCAAATTTCTATTTTCTTCAGCACAATATTTTTCTTTTTGTAATTAACTTGAATTATGTGTTTCTGTGTTACAACATTAGTACATCAGAATTCCAACATTTAAACACAGTAAACTCATCCCATCTAATTTCGAGGTAAAAATAACCAGTACCGAAATGTCCAACATTTTGTTCCTCTACAAAACAAATTGCTTTACCTAAATGTAATATCTTTAAGTTGAGACCTCGCTACTTTTTTTTTTAATTGTTTCAATCTAACCACCTTAGCAGATTGGGTTGGAGGAGCTGATTAAGTGTAAGAATATTTAGCTTGTTCAAAAAATAGTTTCATCAAAAGCAACTTTTTTTTTTTATTCAAAGGAGGGCAGAATGTAAAGTCATGGGGAGTGGTACCATGGCTATGACAGTCACCACACCTCCATCCCCCCTTTCTGCAACGACCCTCATTAGAGGTACGTAGCCTAAACTGTCACGTGTAGGCATTGACAGCAGGACACATGCAGGCAGGACCCAAATGCAGTACTGGTGCAGGTAGTTGTAGTTGAAGGTTCTAAATTCCAAAAACCAGGACTGAAGCATACACCAAGTCGAGCAGAGCTGCGAACACGAAGAGAGTTGAGCACAGCAACATACTTGCTCGGGAACAAACTAGGAACAGCTACAACAAAAAGCTCGACACAGCGTTGGCACAAAGGATACAGTGCTCATGAAAACAGTCACTAACTTACACCCTGGTCCAAACTCCAATCACAATGATCCAATCACAATGATCCAATCACAATGATCCAATCACAATGATCCAACAAGGGCAGAGTGAGGTAGAGAGGTATATATACACAGGGATCACCAGGTGACACAAGTGATATTAATTACAGACAGGTGAGTGTGATCACACAGATTACCCCACACAGCAGGAAAAGGAAACAGACAGACATGACATAAACACCAGAATTTCTATTCAGCAATTTCAGTTGCTTTCGATGTAACTATTTTTTGGATTAAATGACCTGGATGACCTAGAACCTACACAAACATTATTTAGCTTGTTTCTCATAGAACCCCGGTTTTTCCATAAATCACAATGTCATCAGCATATAAGAGGGTTTTGTTGTTGTTGTTTGTTTATTCTTTTATTTTTAAAGTCATTGGTTTGTACATGTGGCACTTTGGCCCAGAGGCTATGTCTCTGTCATTGGTGTAGAACCCCAGGGTTCACCTCCTGGGCAAGATCGAATCCCAGTTGGGGTGGTTGGCGACTTCCAGTGGACTCAACACCTGCACAATTCATCAAGTGGGGGGTTCATAATCAGCAGCTGTTCTACGACAGAATGTTCTGGAGGCACAAAGTAAAAGTCAGTTTTCTTAATACAATATGTCCTCAACATACACACAAAAAAAAACATTAGTCCAACATTAGTTTTGTCCAGCAGTATCAGCAGTATTTAAAGTTTACCCCAAAATAGAAGAAAATAGTTACCTCCATTTATCATGTGGCCGAAAGCAGATTGGTGGAGTAATGATTCCTATTATAAATCTATTATCTTTTAGATAATGCATTGAAGCTGAACCTGGATGACACGCTGACGCTCCTCACCTGTGTGTGTCTGTGTCGTTTTCCACCCGACCTGTTGACAAACAAACCCCTGGATAACGTACTGACGTACTCATGAAAAGATGACAAACAAACAACAAACAAACAACAGAACAAATGCATGTTTCTGTGAATCCATTTCTCTTTTTTTTTTACATGAGCACACTCTCAGTCCACACATACAGTACAGTACACCCACCCATGCCACATGACACAATGACATGTCATTGTGTCAATCACTTCCAGCTTGAGTGCTACCATCTGCCTCTTCATAAAGCCACACGCCATGTGGATCAATGTGCAAAAGCCCCGGCTCAGCCTGGTTACAGTGCACAACGCTTGGAGTAAAGACTTAACTCAAAGCGACCGAAGCTGAGTCAGTTTCTTTTTATACATCTCGCTCCTCTCCCTCTCGTCCTCAGAACCTTCCCCCCTTATTGTGCAGACGAGAGAAGAAAGAACTTGTTTGCGTTGATGAAAATAAAATGTTTTAAGAAGAAGATACGAGTTTAGCAAACAATAAATGACTCTACTGTTTGAACTAAAATTTGAAAAATGTTGAGCTTAGGAGAAAAAATAAAAAAAACCCAAAAAGTGTTAATTTCAGAAAGCCTTTAATGGAGAACAAAAAGGGTTTTTGTTTTTCAGAAAACACAGTCACAAAATGAAATAATCCCAGTTGACAAAAAATAATTAATTGCCACTATTGTTAGCTGTAGTTGCCAAGGCGATAGAGTCCCTGTTTATGGCATGTCATGCAAATTTAAGGCGAGGATTTGTGCTTAAGTATCGGATCGGATGGGCTATGATTTTTTTTGGGTTATGATCAATCCTGAAATTTTAAGCAATATTTGAATGCTATCAATCCCGAGTATTAGATCGAGCAATCGATCAAGAAAAAAAAGTTAATAATTATCCTGTAAATATTGCAACAACTCTTCAGTGGAAAACGACTCCCCAGGCTGTTGTTCAAGGCTCTGTCTCTATACATGCGGTTTGTGTCATTTGCAGTGAAGAATTGCGTAAAAAGATAAAGCTTATGTCTACAAATGTTTAGCAACATTCAGCTTTGAGCTGATTTCTTCCTAAATCAAATCAACCAACGACAGGAACCACAATCACACATGAGGATCCAACAACGGGTGCGTGAGGATGGGAGGTATTTATACCCAGTTGAATGAGTGAGACTAATTAGCCGAGGGACACAGGTGAGTGTGATGACACTGATTCCCAAGGACAGACAGAAGG